GATACCATCCTTTCTGTATAGTAGTCTCCAGGTACCAACTTGCTGCTTTCAGTGCTTTCTCGTGAGTATCGTGTTTGCTCTCTGATGAACGTCAAAGGTTTTCCATTTACAACATGTTTTTACAGCGTTGAGCAATGTAGCCGATCACAGACATGTCTTTCTATGACTATTCTTCACAGGCATATGAATGTTTACATAGTATGTAATTGCCTATATTTTAACTAGGAATTCAAATGGAATGATTTCACTATAGAAAATGTCTGAAATGTACATCTAAATCATGGTATTACTGAATAATAACACATGAATTACAGTAAGTATTTAAAAAAAATAGTAATACTAGTAACATGTCCCTCTAGTCTTTGTGCCAATTCTGGTGGCCCATCTTACGCCAAGGGTCTAATTTCACCTTTCCCCCTAAAAATACAAACTATAAATTCTACAAATCTAAAAGCAAACAAAAAAGACAATAAAACTTTCCTATTCATAATATAATACAATGCCATGAATCAGTATTTTACAGATAAACATAATTAGATCAGTTAACCTCAAAATGGTTTCAGCTGACTAAATTTAACAAGTGATGCTATTCAGATGAAATGGCCATCATATATGTTGAGATTTTGAGCAATCTATGAAATAAATTAAAAGGGAGAAATCTTACCCCGTCTTACCCTATAAATTCACAAAACATTAATTCCGAATTTATGTACTGCAGCCTCTAGTCTAGAAGGTTAACACACTATTGCAGGGGTCACCAAACTCGGTCCCGGAGGGCCGGTGTCCTGCAAAGTTTAGCTCCAACCCTAATCAAACACACCTGAAACTAATTAAGCTCTTGGTAGCTATACTAGAAACTTTCAGGCAGGTGTGTTGAGGCAAGTTGGAGCTAAACTCTGCAGGACACCGGCCCTTCGAGACCAAGTTTGGTGACCCCTGCTCTATTGTATATTTGTGTTTGCGCTATGGAGATCATCGAAGATTTCTATTTACAATATGTGCACAGCGTTGAGCAATACAGCCAATTTCTTGAACGGGGTCACCAAACTCGGTCCCGGAGGGCCGGTGTCCTGCAAAGTTTAGCTCCAACCCTAATCAAACACACCTGAAACTAATTAAGCTCTTGGTAGCTATACTAGAAACTTTCAGGCAGGTGTGTTGAGGCAAGTTGGAGCTAAACTCTGCAGGACACCGGCCCTTCGAGACCAAGTTTGGTGACCCCTGCTCTATTGTATATTTGTGTTTGCGCTATGGAGATCATCGAAGATTTCTATTTACAATGTGTGCACAGCGTTGAGCAATACAGCCAATTTCTTGAACGTCATCCTAGGTGTATATGACTTTCTTCTTTCAGACGAATCCAGTCGGAGGCATATTAAAAAGGAGGTATCCTTTGCTGGTTTAAGATGGTCCTTTGCTGGTCATATTCTGGTCCTAAACTGGTCCGACCAGCACATGACCAGCATAAACCAGCAAAGGACCATTTAAGGGGGTCTGAATACTTTCCGTACCCACTGTATATCTCCGACTGGATTCGTCAGAAAGAAGAAAGTCATATACACCTAGGATGACTTGAGGGTGAGTAAGTTATGGGCTAATTTTCATTTTTGGGTGAACTAACCCTTTAAGCTACTTTGTGAGATCGCGATGAACTGAGTGTGATTATTTAGTGATTATGAAGGGAGCGCTCTTTCTAGGCTATATAATCCAGTCAGAATTTGATTAAAATGTTTGTTTTTCATGCTGCCAATCACTAGAAATTGCGATGGATGACATAGTGATAACCATAGCATTGGACAGGATATATATGTGTCAATATACTATATATATATATATATATATATATATATATATATATATATATAGCTCAAATATGTCAAAATAGATGTGCATTAAGAGTACGTTTACACAACATGCTAAAAAAAGTTTTACTTTTCATTTTTCACGTACAGATGACATTACCAAAATGATCCATTCACAAGGATACACAAAAGCAACTTAAAATGCTGTATTATGCATGCCGGGCCAGTAGTTGGCAGAATTGGAGAGTATATATATGTGTGTATATATTATATATATATATATATATATATATATATATATATATATATATAGCTCAAATATGTCAAAATAGATGTGCATTAAGAGTACGTTTACACAACATGCTAAAAAAAGTTTTACTTTTCATTTTTCACGTACAGATGACATTACCAAAATGATCCATTCACAAGGATACACAAAAGCAACTTAAAATGCTGTATTATGCATGCCGGGCCAGTAGTTGGCGATGCCACTTTGTAAAGAAACAATAGTAATACGCATACGCATGACATCACGGTTTTCACAAATTCGCATTTTTATGTAGTTTACACAGAGAAGATAACGGTATAGTTTTGAAAAACGTGCACTTTGAAACCAGTTTTCAAAACGCTGTTGTCGTGTAAATGAACAGCCATAAAACGTTTTCCATTTTTAGTTAAAAACAGTAGCTGCGTTTCCATTACCCTTCAAATTGCACAAATTAAAATTGAAAATACTCCCATATATCGCAAAAAAGTTTTTACGCTCGCATGAGGTGGTTTTACAGGCAATTCAAAATAGGAATATTTTGCAAAACTGCAATGGAAATTTTTTTTCTTTGCATTTACAGGTCACATGACATATGTAAAAAGTCATATGATCATTCTTCAATGTACTATAACCTCTAAGAAACGCTTCATACATGGCCGCTCTCCAGTATAAGGCGCTTTCCCTACTATTAATGCTTAGACAATTTACACTGCACATGTCTGCGGTGCAGTGTGGCTCTGATACGGCCACTGAAGCTGAACTCTAGTCAACGCTTGTGTTTATTGAAGTGGCTCTCCGTGTTACTTCTGTAAAGATACACGCATACGCCTCCTTTGAATAAATATAGCCAAAATCCATTGCCATGACTTATCGCGAGAGGCAAAAGTGTACTTTTTACCCTCTAAGGCTAGAGCACTCTCACTCATTTCAGAAGCTTGATTCTTGAACCGGGCCTGTATTTGGTTGCTTCAGCGTCGAACATGAAAGTGAAGTGTCTCTGGTGAGCGACTGGGCGTTTAGTTGATGGGAGGGTAGAGATCTGCGGTAAGTGTGCCTGGTGTGAGGGGGTCCTCTTGTGTACCGCTGTCATTAATTCTCCACTGAAGCGGCCTCCAGTTCTCCAAACACCTCCCTTGCTTTCTCAGCAGAAGCACTTTAATAAGTGACAAATAGGATCGGCCTGGAATCAGGCGCCGGGGCGCTCGGCCCAACGAGGGGGAGGGAAAGCAATCTAGGACAACGTTCCTTTGGTCCGATTAGGCTGCCATGGATAATGCAGCCAAGCCAGTAATACATGGCAGGGAAGGCATGATGGTGGGAAAAGGAGGGGTGCTGCTCTCCTCCACTCCCTTGCGCTTGGCTCTCTTACAGGGTGGCTTTTGTTCAGCCCACTCCTGCTGCTCCAGTGGCTTGGGGGTTTGTGTGTGGCGCTCGGGGCATCCCTGGCCCTGGATTTTTGCACTTGTCTTTTGTCTGCACTTTGCTCTTTTCTCGCACGGCCCCAGGTGCCAGCCAACAGAATGCCGCTTTTCACAGCAAACTCAATGCAAATGCAAACACTCCACTCCATTATAGCGACAGGAGTACATTCCACCAGCCAGGAAGCAGCACTCAAAATAAGAACAAAACCGATTGAGGAAACAATATTTGAAAGATTGAGGTGGATTGGTGATTCGACAACACCACATTGTAAAATCATGGTTTAGTTCACTAAACACACAAGAATAAAAAGTGATCATGTCTGCTATAATCAGGTCATTTTTACTGTTTTCTCTCCATGCATCGAAGACCAAGACATGTCTCGGTTACATTTCACCTTAAAATCAAAAGGAAAAAAGATTTTAAAGGCAATATTTAGGACTATTAACAGTTTTTGCATTGTGATATTTTCATAAATTTTACTGCAAAACTACATAATACATACCACTACGTAATAGGTTTTTAATTTTTTTTGTAATTCCAACTTTTCTGATTGCTGTAATAAAAGATTGATTTTTAAAATCAGAATTAGCACAAATTAAAACACAGTCGTACAACAAATGAATCATTTTATTTGAGTATTTTGGGGGGAAATAATGTCAAATTTTGATGGTTAATTTTAATACAAGCTTCATTTTCTTGACATGTTTTGGACAGATTTCCTAATATTTATCCTTAAAAAGTACAGTTACTAAAGGAAATGCAGTCACACTTTGTGTCCAGAATGAGAGTGCTGGACTCACCAAGCTAATTAGTCTGACGGTAAAGTTGAACTCCACATTTACAGGATAAATGTAATGTACTCAGAAATCCTTATTAGTCTGCTGCAATGACAATGTGCTAAAAAGGTTGTTCCTTTGTGTTTTTTTGCATACAGACGACAACATCAAAATGATCCCCGTTTACACAGATCTGCGAAAACGACTAAAATGCAGTATTATGCATGCGCCGAGCCAGTAGGTGGCGATGTCTCTCTGTAAAGAAACACTACACAAACATGTAATATGTATGCGCGTGACATCACCGCTTTTACAAATTCACTATTTATAGTTTACACCGATGATAATGGTATAGCTTTCAAACTTTTTTTTCAAAAAAAGTTTGAGGTGCATTGATAATTCGACGACGAAATGTCATAAAAACATGGTTTATTTCATTAAACGCATACAAGAATAAAGAATGATCATGTCTGCTGTGTTTTCTCCTTATGCATTGAAGATCAAAACATGTCCAGGTTACATTTCACCTCAAAATCAAAAAAATTTAAGATTTCAAAGCCTATATTTAGGACTATAAACATTTTCTGCATTGTGATTTTATTTTCATGATTTTAATTGTAATTTTACCCCACAATTTTAATTGTAATACATTACTTTGAGTTTTTGTCATTCCAAAATTTTTTTTAATCAGAATTTAAATTAATTCAGTACAACAAATAGTGTATTAATCATTTTTACTTGAATATTTTGGGGGGAAATGATGTGAAAAATTTTAATAGCCTAAAACAAGCTGCATTTTCTTGAACCAAAATTTGATGAAATGTGACCCAAGACATGTTTTGGACAGATTTCCTGAGATTGGATATGCTGTCTTGTGGCCCAAGTTGTCCAGAGTTTGACAAAGGGGCCAATCGGATTCATTCTCAGGGTGAGGAGGTGTGGATAAAGGGGCAATAGCGGGGCATCAGTCGTCTGAGCTGCTATCATGGCGCCGCCGGTAGCTTTGTGCCGGGGAGCCTCGACCAGCGCGGTGTCCGTCAGAGGACGAGTCCGTGTCGTGCCGGCGGCGGCGGTGCTGTTGAGGGGGGGTCAGGGTCCTGTGCTCGGCCCTTGGCCCCCCTCCTGAATGGCTGTCACGGGCTCCGGCTCCACTCTGACTGCTCCTTGATGGATTAGGACCATGGTGGTCCCGGGGATCTTTTCTATGCCTGGGGAGCACAAAACACACCTAGACAATCATTTATTCCTGGCGAGCATGGCAAGTTTAGTCCCATTTGAGGGCAAACCATAAGTCAGACATGGACTATGAGGAACGCACTGTCCTCATCTACTGTCACAGAGGTATAATCTGAACATACAAGTCATTCTTTAATTTAGGGTACATTTCACATCAGGAAAAGTGTTAAAAAAATGTTTTCTGAACAAAACAACTATTGTTTTCAGTTCATATATTTTATCTGCTAGCTGCCAAGCTTAATCATTAAACATAATGGTTATATTACAAAGAAAAATGTTTTTCCCTGGTGGTGAGTTTGTCACTGTAATTTAAGTGACGTGAAGACAATTTCAAGCAAGCTGGAAAACAACACAAAATATACGTATGGGATCATAGTATGTATTCTCTTGTTGGTTAATATGTGACCCTGGACCACAAAACCAGTCATAAGGGTCAATTTCTTTAAATTGAGATTTCTACATCATCTGAACGCTGATTAAATCAGGACAGGACAATATTTGGACGAGATGCACCTATTGTATTGTATGAAAATCTGGAATCTGAGGGTGCAAAAAAATCTAAATATTGAGAAAATCATCTTTAAAGTTGTTCAAATGAAGTTCTTAGCAATGCATATTACTAAATAAAAAATAAGTTTTAATGTATTTACAGTAGGAAATGTACAAAATATTTTCATATATTTTACTTTCATATTTTTAAACATGTTAAATCAAGTTTTATATTTAAAACCTTAATCTCGTCTTTTAATGCAATTATATAGCCATGTAATTAAATCACTGCGCATATCAAATCCACCAGGGCTCTGTAACTCATGCTGGATAGTAACTCATGTTATCAGATTCTAGAAATTAAGTGCTAGTAATTAGATTTTAAAACGTGCATAATCAGATTACAGATTACATACTATTCACACAAAGGCAGTAATTTATTCATAGTTTATTAATTTCAATGTACCATTCTAAAAAAATCCCCTAAATCAGGACAGGACAATATTTGGACGAGATGCACCTATTGTATTGTATGAAAATCTGGAATCTGAGGGTGCAAAAAAATCTAAATATTGAGAAAATCATCTTTAAAGTTGTTCAAATGAAGTTCTTAGCAATGCATATTACTAAATAAAAAATAAGTTTTAATGTATTTACAGTAGGAAATGTACAAAATATTTTCATATATTTTACTTTCATATTTTTAAACATGTTAAATCAAGTTTTATATTTAAAACCTTAATCTCGTCTTTTAATGCAATTATATAGCCATGTAATTAAATCACTGCGCATATCAAATCCACCAGGGCTCTGTAACCGGTGCTGGATAGTAACTCATGTTATCAGATTCTAGAAATTAAGTGCTAGTAATTAGATTTTAAAACGTGCATAATCAGATTACAGATTACATACTATTCACACAAAGGCAGTAATTTATTCATAGTTTATTGATTTCAATGTACCATTCTAAAAAAATCCCAGAGGCTTATATACACTCAGAAAGTCTCAGTGGAATTGCACACACCAGCCACTAGTTAGAGACAAAAATATTCTACAGATGGCGGCAGGTGCATCAAATCTGAAGATTTTCATCTTTCAAATGTTATATCGTTTATGACAATTAATTGAATAGCTATTTGATATTATAAAAGCAATTAAACTGGACTATTTGACCCATTATTTGTGTGTGCTATTTTTTTGCTAATTGCTTTGGAGTGTAAATGTTAAGGTAAATATCATATAATACTTTCGAAGTTTTTGAATAGAGCCACAGTGTAATCATTTTCTTCAAACCAAACCACTATCTTCAAAACGAGTATCTAATAAGAAAAAAAGGAAACTAACTAAAAGATGGGATGAACTAAAACTAATACAATTGTGTTACAATGCCCTCTTGTGAACAACTGGTGTTATACCGCAGAGAAGGAAAGCAAAGTGTCTATAAATCACTTACAACAATAATAATGGGATTTGATTTAGTCTGTTGACAGGATGGAAAAACTATAGACAGTTACCTTTTACTGTAGCTTTCGGAGTCTGAATCCGAAGAGTCACTTCTGCTTCTGTGTTTCGTTTTCTCTTTCTTCTTCTTTTTCTCCTTCTTACTTTTCTTCTCCTTTTTACTCTTCTTTTTTCGGTCAGATCTGTAATTGACATCAGCGCTCAACTTAGACCCCGTGTAGGTTTGTTTTAAAGCAGTATCTGTTTTCGTACTCGAGAATTCTCATATTTATTCTATTCCATGTTTAAAAACCTTTCACATGTAATGTTTGGCCATAAAAGATATTAAATCTATTCTTGCTTTTATACCACACAAACACATATACAGTGTATTGTACCTTTTATCCTCTTTATCAGGTCTGTTGGCCTCCTCAGGATTCTTACTGGCTTCTTGTGGTCTATCAGCTTTGTGATGCTGACAATAAATCAAGATCAGTGATTTACGGTGCTTGTAATATTCAAACCACGACACATTCTCGGAATCAAATCAGCATCAACACACAATAATTATTTATGTCTACGTACCGTGAAAACTGGCAACCCCATTTTTACTGCTTCTTTTTCTTGCTTGGAAAGCACCATTCCTCTCGGTCCAGCCCTGATCATGAAAAACAGCTCATAATGCATCTATGGTACGTCTATTATATTCTATTTATAGACTACAGTAACATGTAATACTAGAGGAGCTAGGTACAGACTAGTGCTGTTTCTCAGTCTATAGTGATTTTATTTTATCTAACATCAATATGCACTTCAAAAGTTTTTAAATTAAAAAAGAAGATAAATATAAAGTAGAATTAAAATAGAATAGAAAGTGTTACAGTTAGAGGGTCAAGTAAAGGTGGAACAGATGTGTTTTTATTCGTTTCTTGAAGATGGTTAAGGACTCGGCTGCTGGGATTGAGTTGGGCAGGTCACTCCACCACGAGGGAACAGTTAATGAAAAAGTCTGTGAAAGTGATTTTGTGCCTCTTTGAGTTGGCACAATAATGCGTCGTTCACTTGCAGAACGCAAGCTTCTAGAGGCACATAACTCTGAAGTAATGGATTTAGGTAAATGGGTGCAGAGCCAGTGGTGGTTTTGTAGGCAAACATTAATGCCTTGAATTTAATGCGAGCAGCTACTGGTAGCCAGCTTTTTATGCGTTTTGACTGTTCGGTTACACGACAACGGCGTTTTGGGGACTGAAAACGCATATTTTTGAAAACGGGTTTCAAAGTGGAAGTTTTTGAAAACTCCACCGTTGTCGTTTCTGTGTAAACACACAAAACGGGAATCTTTGAAAACGGTCATGCGCATGCGTAGTGCGTGTTAGGTATGTAGACATGCGCAGTACGTGTCGATTTTAAAGGCAAGTGTGAGCAAACATACACAACAATGGCGGAGTACTGTTGTTGCTTCTCAAGAGTTTGCTAACGCTTCTTCAGCAAAGTGTGGATTTACTTCACCAATATTACAACCAACAGCAGAGACGCATCATATAATCGTCAGTTCCCGACAGGTACCGTTTACTAACAAGGTGACAGCGCCAACTACTGGCCTGGCATACGTAATACAGCGTTTTTGGCTGTTTTCGCGGATATGTGTAAACCTGAATTGTTTTGAAAACGTTGTCGTGTATACGTGAAACTTCTTAAAAACGCAAGGGAAAAACGTTTCAGTTTTTGACTACACCGTTGTCGTGTAAACATAGCCTGAGAATCTAGAAAAGTTATGTTTTCTCAAGACAAACTTTGAATGTTGGCTTATCAGTGCACTGTTTGAAAGTTTATTTGTGAATCAGGGTGGAAGGACATTTCCCAGAATGCATTACCCGTGTTGAATTTCTTTGACTTGAAATCCTGTCATTCTGTTGCAAATGCCACTTCTGTACATAACCCAGTCATAATTCAAATCAAAGTTTTATTTTTCATGCTACAAAGTACACCGTGCAAAGTTTCGGAAGAGAAACCCCATATTAAAATGCGAGACAGAATCTGAAATAGCAATGTTTGTCATTGTGATAAAAAAAAATCTTCAACAGTTTAACTTCTAAATTATTATACATTCCACCATGAATTAGCCTAATACATAAGATACTTGGAACACCTTATCGCGTTTGGTCTCGTTCTGTATCGCGTATCTTGTCAGTGTCTGCGCTTGCTTGGCCATTTGTTGTAGAGAAAATAAGGAAAGTGTGTCCAGCTGAATTAATGTAGTATTTTGTTAGACGGGTATAAAAAAAAAAGCGTAGTTTACCACGGCAGCCGTCGCGTGAAGGCCTCCTCGTGTGAAGACTGAAGAGTGTAAAGACCATCGACACTACCGTGCAACTCCACCGGGCAGGACACCGGCAAAGAATAAGGATTGCTTTTTATTTCTCCTCTTTCCTATTACTCGTTTCGCTTCTGTTTCAGTTTTTATAACCATTTCTTACTATGTGTAAGTAAGTTGTTGTTTTTTAGCATGTATGTTTGGCAGTGTTATTTTTTAGGATTACTGATAAATACTGTCATTTGATTTGTATTATTTGTGTTTGTTATTTATTTTAATTTTAGTTACATTGTCTGAATTTATTATGTCTGTATAGGTTTTTAGTTTTATTTAATTTGAGTTATTTTAATACTTCAACAAACTAAATGGAAATGAAATAATATATATATTGAATTTATAAATGTGTATGTACATAGACAGTATGCATGTGTGTGGTTGTACATATGTAGCTTTTTTTTTTTGGTGTTTGGCTTAGTGTTATGTTAGAATCATTATTATACTCTTATACCTTTTTTTCTTTAATATTTTTGAATAGTTTTTAGCTTTCTTTTTTGTTTTTCATTTATACGTTAAGTTTTGAAATTTTGTTGTATGCATTTGTCATTTTTATTTAACCTCTTTATTTTTAAAATGTGTATAGGTAGTATTTATATAGTTTTAGCTTTTAGTTTTGGATCTGTGTTTAGTTGTTTTAATGCTACAATTGATTGTTTCTGTTTCTCATCTTGAACAGGTAAAGAGAGGTCTAGATCAGGTAAACTAGTCATGAAAGCTTTACCTGGAGCTTCCGAGCCCAGAGACCCTGTCCACGTCCCGTTCATCCGCCTCCCCTTCCCTCCGGCACACATCTGCAAGATCCTGCCAGCAGGACACATATGCATCAGAAACGGCAATGAGAAGTGCTACAAATCATTGAAATGTCCTTGTTTGAGTGTTTACAAATGCAAACCTCTTTGGTAAGACCAGTTGGTTGTCTCTTGATTGTTTTATGACCCCTAAAATAGACAAAAAATGGGACAATTGAGATGTTTACTCATATTCTTCTGCACTTCACTGATGAATCAATCACACTTACAGTGCTGCTAACATGGCCTCGTGCTCTGCCTCCCGTACCGCTGCCATCTCCTGCTCTTTAGACAGAGATGCGCCACCCTTCTTATCTTTGGCGTACCATGACAAATCCTTCCCTTTCTGCCACCGGCCAACCGGTGCCATGACGGAATTCCCTGAAAAATCAACACAGAACCTTGGGTAGATCTAACACAACCTGCTATAAACATGTTTAAATCATATTTCATTGTATTTATATTTAGCTTAAGGAAAAAGAAACATATGACCATCAGGACCACGTGTGTGTGTGTGTCTGTGTCTGTGCATGTGTGTGTGTGTCTGTGTCTGTGTGTGTGCATGTGTGAGTGAGTGTGTGTGTGCGATCGAGCGAGTGAGTGTGTGTGTGTGAGAGTGAGTGTGTGTGTGTGTGTGTGTGTGTGTGTGTGTGTGTGTGTAGGTGATGTAAAAGAGGAAATCAGGCATTTGGACCAAAGCACTGTGAGGCAAGGGAGGGGGAGACACAAAATATTTCTAAACTTAAAATGCATTTTTGCCCCATTTGCGTTTGTGTTGTTTTACTACTTACAAAGTTATTTTTAATTCAATTCAAATCAAGTTTATTTGTATAGCGCTTTTCACGATACAAATCATTGCAAAGCAACTTTACAGCAAATTAAGTTTCTACAATATTTAGTGGTAGCTTATCAGTGGTGACTGTCAGTTAATGTACATATGGCAGAAATG